GTCTTCTTGATTACACTTCTATTGTTCTCGCTCCTTAATAATGTTTCTTGTGCTTTTTTTTTACACTCAGTAATCCCATGAGTCTTAGTGGCTCTATTGCCTTGCATTGGTTAGCTTTTGGAATGTCTTACACGGTAGAAATGGCATTTTAGACCACCGCATTAATCACTTTCACACGACGGGACGATTTAACCCGTTATCTGCGAGAGAAATTTCTCTAAGACATAGAACTGCAATGGCGGGAATTTACGTCATTCGCACTTAATGCGATGCAGATACATTGCACATGATTCACCACGTGAAATGAATTAAAAGAGAACTAATATAAAAAAAATTAGTTCTTGTGCTTTCCTAGTGAAATGTAAAACTAATATTTTTAATAGATTCTTGATAAAATCAGCAATATTATTGGTCCTGATCTGGTGGCTCGGCTTCAGTCACTTTCCATCGCCATAACGTGCAATTTTTATAAATATTTTCATGTGAATTGTTCAGATGAACTCTTCATTGTGGTATCTCGTTTTTATGAATTTAAGCGCAACAAGGTCTCATCCATTTACTGTTGAATTGGTCAGATGGAACCATTCTATACTTACAGTTTCTTTTCTCGCACTTGCGGAATTCCCTTCCAGCTCCATGCTTTTCAGCCAATTTAAATGCAATGCTAATCGTTAACTACTGTCTTCTTTATTCGACTTCTATTGATCTCGCTCTTTAGTAAATGTTTCTCGTTTTTTCTTATTCTTTCACACTCAATAAACCCTTGTGTCTTAACAGCTCTACTGCCTTGCATGGGGTGAAATGATTAAAAAAAAATTGTGGCGGGCAATAAAAATGCTAATAGAACTGTTAATGTAGATGATCACATATTCTTGTGAAACTGCAATTTATATTGACGCGCTCAAGAAACGTACACCGTAACAGCTGCAGAATTAATAGTAGATCCGTCTTTCTCTTTTCCCCAAGGAATTCTTTTTTTTTCTTAGTATAATCTCGTATAACAAAACTACTCAGATATACGCGTAAGCACAATATTTAGGCTTCCTTTAGTTTCATTCCAGACAGGAAGTAAGCTAGAATTATTGGAGCATCACTTCCGCTATGGTTAAGGAAAGATAAAGGCTAGGCTAACCCTTCCACATAGAAAAAAAATGAATATCTCCTGAATGTTTAGCCTGAAAGGAAAAAGGACAAAAAATATGGAAAACAGGGATAAGACTTCCACTAATGCTTTCAACTGGTTGACTCGTGCGCAGATAAAGAGGCCATATTGGAAGCGTCATCTTAAAAGGATGACTGCTTGCGAACAAGAACAAGGTTGTCTATTCTTTTAATTTGTTCATTTCTATCTTAATTGTATTAAGTTCCCACATTTTGGACCGGATGGTGTCTGTCGACATGAATATACGGACTATAAGGATGGATCAACGAGACTGCTAGCGGATTCAGTCAAAAGTCTGGAAAACCCATCATTGAATAATGACAATACATCATCACAGAACCACAGATAGTTTGCGTCGCTTTTAGAAGTGCACACACACACGCACGCACGCACGCACGCACGCACGCACGCACGCGCGCGCACACACACACACAAACACACACACACAAACACACATACACAAACACACACGCGCGCACACACAAACACACACGCACACACACAAACACACACACAAACACACACACACACACACACATTGAATTCAATTTAAATGAGAATATCTATTTCATTTTTATTGCACTTTTTCCATTTTCGAATATGTTGTTGCACATCTGGATCAAAATTTTTTCCCCCAAGTCATTATGAAGAATTCAGTTATGTGCCATGCATGATACACGCTTAGCCGATCATCTATCTTTCGATACATAACTGACGAGGCAGATTTTTTTCCCGCAGTAGTTTGCCATTTCTTTCTGCGGTAGACCAGTTGCCATCCAAGGCTATAGAACCCGGTCTCTCTTGCTATTTACCCATAGCAAAACTAACATACATTTTTTACCAGTTTTCTATGAGAACATATCTTCTTTTTTTGTGCTGTGTCTCTTCAGGGCATGTACAACCTTGGTTCTCCACAACTTCTCATACTTTGTAGCTCTTAGCCAGGTTTGTCTTTTGCACTTCCTGTTTTCCCATCCATTTACACACGCTCCTTAGGTAGGTAACTAACTGTTTACCTCTGTTGCTCTTGCCAATACTGTCATGTACATATTTCACTCTTCTCCTTGGCATACAATCATGCAGTCTCTCTTCACACAATAGTTTTAATGCAAATGTTTAAGAGATAATTTAACTATTGGAAATAGTCGTAAATAACAGCATTCACATTTAATATTCAGTCAGATATGTCACATGTTAATACATGCTAAGGCGATCATGTATCTTTTCGATACATGACTGACGAGGCAGATTTCTTCCCGCAGTAGGTTACCATTTCTTTCTGCATTAGACCAGTTACCATCTACGGCTATAGAACCCGGTCTGTCCTGTATTTACCCATAGCTGGTGGGAGGGGGGAAGAGAAGAAGAGGATTCATACCTTTCCCAACGGTATTAGCACGTAAGTGAATGTAATCTTACTTATTATAAAATGCAGATTGTGTGTGTGTGTGTGTGTGTGTGTGTGTGTGTGTGTCTGTACGTTTATATATTGGATCGGATTTCCTACATTTTTCAACCGATTTCAACAAAACTTCACAGGACTGCGTAAAATTACGTTGCGGTGGTTCTGACAGCACCATAAATTGGAAAAACACAATTGTTTTTGCACGAAATCAATTTGAAAACACGATAAAACACGATTCTGTCGCCAGAATGAAAGAGGGGACAACTCATATTAAGTTATACTTATTATAAAACCCAGGTTGTTTGTGTGTGTGTGTGTGTGTGTGTGTGTGTTCGTTTATATATGGGATCGGATTTCCTACATTTTTCAGCCGATTTCAACAAAACTTCACTTATTTTTGGCAGGTAGTGTTTCTTATTGTTTTGCGCGCTTTTTTCTTTATTTTTACATTCAGAATGCTTTAAAAATTCCATTTACGAGACAATTGTTTATAATAAAATTCTATTCAATCGATAGACTCAGTCATAATGATTGAAAACAATGGTTTTGTTTGAGTTTGGATTTGACCAATTCGTAAAAAAAAAAAAAAAGAAAAAAAAGAAAAAAAACTAATTAAGACATGCGTGTCCGTCAACCTTAAACAATAATCTTTGTCAATTTTATTTTTCAGTCTTTATGATGGTCGATACTTGATCTATCTCTTACTGTTACATCCCCGGGCAACTCCGGGCTCTACTGCTAGTATGTAATAAGTGGCTGTTGTAATTATGGTAGACAAGGTTAGTAGGCTACATGCTGCTATACTTTGGACAGTTTAACAACGTTTTTAATTCGAAAACTAAAAAAATACAATAAAAAAAGAAAGAAACCGACAGACCTTGTCGGTTGAATTTAACAAAACCTGTTTGCACGGATCTAGTAGTGGAGTAGTGGGTAGCAGCTCAGATTGAGGAATCGGAGAGCCGAGTTCGAATTCCAGTCGAATCCATTACATTAACTTACGTGCTAATACCCTTGGGAAAGGTATGAATCCTCTTCTTCTCCCTCCAGCTATGGTTAATTAGCAAGACAGACTGGGTTCTATAGCCTTGGATGGCAACTGGCCTAGGAGAAGGACAACTTTGAATTCAAAACCTGCGGAAGGTTGTTTGGAGACCTTGTGGCAAGTAGTCCACCAGGTCTCTGTATTCAGCCCTTCAAAATCTATAATCAAATTATATGTGCTAGTGTCTGCCCGGTTAAGGCAGTGGAGAACTTTCAGAGGGAAATTAACAGGAGATAGCTGATAACTGACATCCATCAAACATGGCACGTGGAACTAGAACAGACGACCCCAGTGAGCGAAATAAAGGGTTCAGTTTGACATTCCAACCACCTGAAGGAGGCCGGAGCGTACAATGGCCGAAACGTTGTAATAAATATGGCGACAAAGATGAGGACAATAGTCCGAATAATGTAAATAATGTACATAATACCTCATCTCAGAAATATAGACATATATATATATATATATATATATATATATATGTGTGTGTGTGTGTGTGTAGAGGTGCGCTTGCGTGTTTGTGTGGGGTGCGCGCGTTTCTGTGTGTCAAAATTAAGATAGAAAGAAAATATATCTGTTAGAAGACAATATGAATAAACACAAAATGAAAACTTTTCTTTATCCAACGCATCATCTCCCCACCTGATAAGAGTGCGATTTGGACTCGGGTCTCATGCCCAGAAAGCAAGCGTTCTAATCACACGGCCAGGTGCTTCTTGATAAGAGGAGGCGATCCCAGCGCGCAGCACCTTAGGAAAACGCCTGGAAACGATACCACTGGTTAACTTAAGCCTTGTGAGTGAAATTTGTAGACGGAACTGTTCGGCCGTCATCGACGGTCGTGCTAGCACGGAGTCACAAGTCATCGTGACCGAAGGTTTGAGCGCGGTGGCATTGTTAAACAAAAAATGATCACGCCTGACTATGTGATTTAACTAAGGTCCGCTCAGCTTAGTTGTAATATAAAATACAGGTGAACTCTGAGTGTGGGTTGAGCAGACGTTTGTAATAGGGATTTCGTGGTGGGGGCGCTAGGTATGTTATGTCTTAACATTTTTCATAAAGTGCACAGATACTACACTGATCCGAGGTAGAAGTATTGGGGATACTAAACAACATAATTTGTCTCGAGGCAGAAATGTTGTATAATTTCTATCAGGTACTATACTATACTATTTATGAGATATTATTATATCATTCATGGTATTGCCCTCTTAAGTTACCGCTTACGGCCACATCACGTTCAAATTCCGGTTCCTGTACGCTCACTGAAGTTAAGCAACATCGAGCCTGGTCAGTACCTAGACGGGTGACGGCTTGAAAATATTGGGAATACCAGGTACTGTAAGCTTGGATATGTGAGTGGTACGGCTTACGGCCCCCATCACGTCGAAACACCGGTTCCCGTACGATCAGCGAAGTTAAGCAACTTCGAGCCAGGTCAGTACATAGATGGGTGAACGCTTGTAAGCTTGAATGTGCGGGTGGTGTAATGTGTAATGGCTCGTAATTAGAAATCGGAGAGCTCCAATTCCAGTTGTGATCGTTATATTCAGTTACCCGCAAATATGTTTGGGAAGGCATGAATCCAACTCTTCCCCCAGCTATGGGTTAATTAGAAAGACTTGTATCACTAAACCATTATTATCTTTAAAAATTCTTACACTCTGAAAATATTTTCTAGCTTTAAATAACCTGCAAAGGTTGATAAGCCGTAGAAAACGAAACACTCAACTTACCGAAAGTAATTTTGTCCATGGCTATATATATATATATGTATTATATATATATATATATATATATATATAGTCATGACCAAATTTATGGGGCAGGTGTATAAAAGTTAGAAATATAATTGATACTCGTTTATTTTATCATTTAAAAAAAGAAGAAAGCTTTTAAAAATAAATTTAATCGATATTTAATACTTGGTGTGGGCTCCTTTTGTTTTTATAACTGCCTTTATTCGCTTTTGCATATTGGAAACCAGTTTAGCACAAGTAGTTGGCGCGATTTTCTGCCATTCTTCATGAAGTTTGGCCTCTAATTCGCGTTTTGAAGAATATTTGTGCACCCTCACTTTTTTTTAACACAAGCATGAACATAAATGTTCAATGGGATTCAGGTCAGGGGATTGAGGGGGCCCACTTCATTACCCTAACGTCTCTATTTTCAAATCAACCCTTCAAAACTCTGGATGTGTGGCATGGTGCGTTGTATTGCTGGAAAATTACTCCATCTGGTATGGTATTGTTGAAAATGTTCTCTAATGAAGGTTGGTAACAATGGTTTAACATGCTTGTGTAGGTGTTGGAATTCATTCTACCCTCACATTTGAATAACATTCCTGTTCTGCAATACATTTTTACCAGCAATACATCTTTGGATAAAAATTTTACCAGCAATATATTTTTGGAAAAAAATATTATCAGTAATGAAAATCTTGTTGGCATTAAATAACACATTGAGGTGTTGATATGCCGTAAACCAAACCAAACCAAAGCAAACAAACCAAGCCTCAGTCTACTGTATAACGTACAATCCTGATCTTCTGTGATGATGCCATACTTTTGAATATTTTATAAGGTTTTCATTGGATTAAAGTGATTTTTACGTTGATGCACATCTACTATCACGGTGAGGGATATTTAATAAAAGTGATTGAAACATCAACTAAAAGAAAAAGAAACTAAATGAAATCGTGTAGCCTATATGACCAAAATATATATCAACAAAAAAAAATAAAATTCGCGGCCTCCCCTTTCTTTCGCGTGCATGTGTAGTCGCATCGGCATAAGCATTATTTTAGTGAAATTACGTCCTAAAGGACAAAACGCATTACACAAAAACTTTTTACACTTGTTCATAGTTTGTATTTGATATATATAAAAAAATTATATATCCTTTTGCTAATTGTCATCATTCATTTTTTGATAATTCATATTATTTACTGTTGTTTGTTTATGAAATGTTATCCAAATTTGGGGGAATTTTAAAAGATAAAGTTACTCAGTGTTTCCCATGTCTTGTCAGATTCTTCACTCTTTTGAAATCACTCCACCAAATAATAACAAATCTCATTTTCACTTTTTTTTTCTTTGAGGAAGACATTTGGTGCCTTAAGTTTCTTTGATGCTACCATAAGTTATTTTTTTGCAAGTTACCCAGGGTTTCCCGGGTCCCTTCGCACTCACTCTCGATAATATCGAATCTTATTTTCTTTCTATGAGGATGACATTTCTTTGATGCTACCATAAGTATTTTTTGTAAGTTATACAGGGTTTCCCATGTCTCGCCGGACTCTTCACTTATTTCAAAATCACTCTCGATAATATCGAATCTTATTTTCTTTCTATGAGGAAGACATTTCTTCGATGTTACTCTGCGTTTCTCGTGCCACGGATTCGTCACACATTTTTTTTTAAAAGAATCACTTCACTTGATAATAACGATTTTCTTTTTCTAACATTTTTTTCTTTCCTTGAGGAAGGCTATACACGTTTCAACTTTCACTGATATTACCTTAAATTTCTTTGATGTTGCCAAGCATTTCCCGTGTCTCGCCGGATTATTTCCCACCTATTGCAAAATCACTCATGTTTTTATTACATTTTTTTTCATTCTATGAGGGAAGAATTTCATGCTTTAAGTTTAACTTTAAGATAGCAATCCCTGTAGATAAAGAGTGTTTTCCCCTTTTTGCATATTATTAGTTTCATGTTAGAAGTGAAAATTTTGTGCTCTGAGATTGCTGGAACGGGACAAACCAGGTGCCACAGTCGGGGCGTGTTAAAGGAGTGGCACATACAGAACCCAGAAGAGTACAGGCTTTTAGCGACGTTTGATGAATCTCTCTGCTTCCACATTGTCTATGTCAGCCTCTGATGTTTTGTCGGTACCATTTCTTTTGGCTGCTCACACGTGTCTTTGGGAAATACCGTCATGGAACGGAGGCGGCTGCTGCTGCAGATTTGGTAAATGGAGAATATTTCCTTAATCATCTAGCTCTGATCTGAACTCTTAAGCACGCATCGAGACCAGGGAGAAGTCTTTCAGATCATTATTAAACAAATCTGTACAGTACAGACTTGTAAAATCTCAGTTAACTAGTCAATATAGACGATATGCACAACTCTGTTATGTCGCCAAACGCTTGGAATGTACGATGCTTTATATAGGGTTAAAGTCAGATAATAAGAACTATGAATTATTATTGGTTTGCACAATCTTAACATCATAAGAAACGCAGATGATACCACGTGGATGATAAAGACAGGGGGACAACTGCATGAACTCTTACACAATGTAGTAAATGATAGCGCGAAGAAAAGACTGATTATCATTTTTAAGAAGAGAGGTTATCAGAAAAAGGAATAGTTCAAGGTACAAGCTGCAAATTGAAGATTTCAATATTAAGCAAAGTTAACTGTCTAGGAAGTGTTTAAAAAAAAACAAAGTCTAGATAAATCTTTAAGAAGTCAGGATCCCCTTCTAAAATGATAAATTTTAAAAATATTTTTCGATTCTGGCAAATATCGGGATAGAGGAAGGTCTAAAGAAGGATAATATACAAAAAATATTCCCTCACTCTTCAAAAAAAAACCCAAAAATCTTTTCTAATTTTTTACAGACGGACCAGTTGATTTCTGTTGTGTTCTGAAAGGTCCATGGTTCTACCAACTTCCCAAAAGCTGACCAAACGACCAAAGATCGGAATTATTTTGGAAGTACGATAACTTTTCAATATCGTCTCGTAATTACTGTCGAGTTGATTGGTCAAAAACTTGTCCTCTTTTCTCTGTTTTCTCTGTTTTCAATGACTATGTTTTTGCAAAATCCTCACAGTATTTAGTATTGTTGAGGTTATCGCTAACATTTTTTGTCCAGATTTATGCTTCGTTCAATTTTGCAAACCAATTAATGAAGTTTGAATAAGCTGATTTGTTTGGAAAAATACTTTGATAAAAACCTTACTTCGCGGTTTAATAAAATCTTAAATGTAATTTAATTTTATAGGACTTCATGGTAAACAATACTTTTCAAAAAATTTCTTTTTCCTTTTCGCTTTTTAAAAGCGAAGAATACATTCTTAGGATTTCTTACTCTTGAGCATACAACATACAACTGGCCATGCGTAAATATTTCTTTCTGGAGCCAAATCCCAACATTTTGAAACGTTTGGCATTGTGATTCGTTTATAATTCTCGCAAATGATGCGCGGACTGGAAACTGGATTCTTGTATATATAAAAACTTAAAGAAAAGATATGCAAAAAATTATAGAATACTAGTGACGTGACTATGATCAAGACAGTTGGCGCTGCTACTTTAACGTATGGTCTACCAGGTCATTTACAGTTTAGCGTGCAATCAACCTGGGCTTTTGCACTTCAATGTGCAACCTACCGCCACTACAAGAACTTTATACTGCAGAATGATAAAAACAAATTGAATAATGTTGAATAATGATTCATTATTAATAACATACACTTAATAATACAAACCAGTGGAGTCATAATAATCAAAGACAGTTAAACAGTACATTAATTGTCATTGGTGTTACATGACTAATGCACACTTTGTAGTGCGTATTAATAGTAAGCCTGATCAGTTCGATAAGGTCAAATTGGCAGTTGATCTACTTTCTGTTGTTAAGTGGAGCAAGGAATGGCTTGTTAATTTTAATTGACTCCATAATGAAAGTGTTCTGATTCATTCGTCTGAGAGAACTCGTTTTTACATTCTATCAGCATGGCTGATGCTAAACTCCAGAAAAGTGATTTATTGTACCTTTTCGAGCTAATGTTTTCCGCTGACCTGAAGTGGAAAGATTATATTGAATTAATATACTTATAATTGAATTAATATACTGAGGTGGGTATATTTAAAAAACAAATCACAATGTGTCTCAACAACCATTGTTTCTCTTTACATAAGGAAGGTACTTTTTGAGATAATAAATATAGTTTTTAGGAACTTTAAATGATAATTTGAATGTGACCTGCACAGAATTGAGAATATGTCCTCACGGTAGAACGATGCACACTTCCGATCTTGTATGAAGTGCACTATGATTGCAGACGTAGATGTAACGGTAAAATTATACAAATTATGTAGACGACTTTTTCGAATGGATGCCGGAACAGGCACTTCTCATCTCAGCGATCCTACCTATGCAGTCAGATTCACACTGATGTTTAAATAAATCAATTATAGAACTAGTTCTAATTACAGGTAGACAATCCTTATGAACATATTTCAACATCGGTCAATAAAAGAACATAATTCGTGGATTTATTTAATGCCACTAAGACGCAAGGGGTTACTGGGAGTGAAAGAGAGCAAGAAGACTTTAGTGAGAAAACAGAACAATAAAGGAACAGGCTTTAGGAAGATAGAAGATGGAGATTGCATTTAAATCTTTGAAAATTGTAGGTGGCAGGGAAGCAAGAAACCAGAAGAAAGTTCCAGAGGTGAGAAAAGAATTTATTAAAATAGAACTTACGGTTACATTTAGTTATTTCTATAGAAAAACAATGAGACCTACTTGCCAATCTAGTACTGCCCTTATGCGGTCGAGATACCAAGGAGGGGAAATTGTTAAAACAATTGCCATAAAAGTATTTATAGAAAAGACAGAGGAAAGCCACGTCACGGCGGTGGAAAAGATGCCGAGATGCCAGGTTAGGACTGAATTTTGTTAAGAATCTCGAAATATATATCTAGAACATCAAACCAGATATGACAGCAATATTCAATGCACGGACGAATGGTAGTTTTATAAATATGTAAGATGGATTCTGAAAAGAAAAACCGTCTGGCATGACACAATAAACGATCTTTCCTAACAGTAAACCGAAGTATTGATCTCTATCTATAAAAGGCAGGATGTGTGTGTATGTGTGTGTAACGAATGCACGGCTGCAATTTTTGACGGATTTGCACCAAAATTTATATGCACATGCTCCAAGTTAGCGGAAAGACCAAGACCGACTTTGCATTTCCCAACTCCCATCGATAGTGGAAATAATCGATTTTTTCATGCTTCTACAGCAGTTTTCATGTAGTTTGCGGCCATTTTGTACTGGCCAGAGTGAGAGCCAATAGCTGGCTGCCACGAATAGGCAGGAAGATTCTATTGGCCAGCGTGAGAGCCAACAGCTGACTGACACGAATGTTAACTAGCATGCAAAAAAAATCGATAGCTGCATTCGTCACAAGTGGGAAAAATTTAAATCTGCATGGTACTTTACTCCAATTGGCTCATTCGCTTGCTTAAACTCAACGTTGATTCTGATTCTGCAGAACTGAGTTGGGTGTGAAAGAGTATTTGTTGTTAACATTCTTTTTTCATTCGGTTTTTCCAGTTACGAGTCCTTTTTTTAAAGTTGATCGTTTTGTGTTCATTTTGTTTAGTTCTTTTTCGTAACAGATTTAATGTTTAGTATAGAGCTTAGAAAAAATTCGCAATGTGAGATAGGCAAGAAGTAAGACATGTAGTAACATCAGCACGGCAAAGGGCACTCCTTTAAAGGCAAGGAAAGGCAAAAATATTTTAAGTCAAATGATAGCCATTGCTGTATGAGTCGTACGATTTTTGAATCAAGCACGGGCAACGCCGGGCCATGCTGCTAGTTGAATATAATAAAAGATATTGTAACTACTAACTCTGGAACAAAATATAAAATTGTGTTTTGTTTGATTGATGGTTCTGTTTTAAAGACATATCATTTTAATGCCGAAAAGATTTTTAAAAAAATATTGCTTTTAAACAATCCTTTCAGTCTTTGGTTCCATCACTCTCCATTTATGCATTTAGAACAGAATTATTTCGTACTATAGCTTGTAATGTAGAGCAACTTCCTTCAAGTATGTTAGATCAATTCTGTTCCCACAGCTTATCAACACTGCAGGTTATTTAAAACCAGGAAATATTTTTAGATTGTAGGATTTTTATTTGAGATAATAATGATTTAGTGATACAAATTTTATTAATTAACCCATAGAGGAGGAACAAGAGATGGATTCATACCGTTCGCAATGGTATTTGCGTACAAGTGGATATAACGAACCCAAATCTCTCTGATTAATAATTCCATTATACCACCCACACATTCAAGTTTACAGCATCTGGTTTTCCAAAGCGGTCACCCATTTAGACTCGACGTTGCTTAACTTCGGTGATTGTACTGGAACCGGTGTTCCAACGTGATATGACCCCCAAGTAGGCTAGGATAGTCTCTACGTTTTTTTAAAAAAAGTCCTCCAGACTAGCCATGTCATAAAATCCTTCAACGTATTGGGGCAAGGTCATTTCAATCGGTTAGAATATATTTTACAGTATATGCCTGCTGATTCAGAAGGGTGATTCATGAGGGAGTGATATGAGTGTGTCCTATTCTGATTCTTGACAAGACGAATTCTTCCTTCCGAAAAAGTCAGAGACCATGACGCCATTCTCCAAGAATGGGTTTTGTAAAGTTTTTTTTTTGGGGGGGGAGTTCCATGATACTTGCCACTTGCTTAGAATGTATGAGTTTATAGTTGCTTTGAAGTCTGTCTAAAATAGGGGTCGACAACATTTTGCTAACTATGTACCGACTTAGTGTTTTAAAATCGTTCAGTGTGCCAACAGCTTACGTATTTTTTTTTTTATAAAAGTCAAGGTCAATATACATGTTCTACAACATATTTTATATAGTTATATATAGCATATACTTTAGTATATATTTTAGTATATATTAAAATTGTAACAGCTAAATATCTTCTTTGCGTTGTAGTATTTATTGGTTTGGACTTCGTGATGTCATTTGCGGTTGAGTGCCATTGGAAATTCCTTGGCGTGCCACTTGTGACACGCGTGCCGTAGTGTGCCGATCCCTGTTATTAATGATTCTCCATTGCCATCTTAGATCCTTTTACGATTAAAATAAGCCAATAATCAAGTGATATCTATTATTTATTAACGGAACCAAAAAGTGGGAGTATCATTGTTGTTTTGCACAAAGGCCATAAGTGTGAGTGAGGATGATGCTGTGCATATCTCGTCTCTAATTCGATTCTGATTCGGCAAATATGATTCCCAGAAAGCAAGGATCTGTATTGTTAGTTTTCCTGAATACATGACTTATATCAATAAGCACCAACTTTGATTTATATAATGAATCTCTTTAAAATCAAGGACAGTTTTCTCACACGGTCAGTTTTAGAAGAAACCATATCTTTTTAGTATTCTTGCTGTTTTAATAATGTTCTCGTGTGGATGGTTTAAACCAGGGGTCTGTAACCTTTTGCTAACAATATGCCGACTTAGGGTTTTAAAATCATTCAGTGTGCCAACAGTATACGTATTTTTATAAAAGTCAATGTCAATATACCTGATCTACAATATATTTTATATAGTAATATATACAGTGTAACTCGGATATAAGAGACCTGGATATAAGAGAAACCCGGATATAAGAGCGATTTTCTCTGATCCCAAAATTAGAGCCTGTGTTAATGTATATAAAATAGACCAAACCCGGATATAAGAGAAACCCGGACATAAGATACTTCTTCTCCGGTCCCGACAACTCTCTTATATCCAGGTTACACTGTAGTATATATGCTTTAGTATATATTGAAATTGAAACAGCTAAATATCTTTATGTTGTAGTATTGATTCGGACTTCGTGATTTCATTTACGGCTGCGTGCCTTTGGAAATTGCTTGGCATGTCACGTCTGGCACGCGTGTCGTAGGTTGCTGGTCTAGAGGATTTTCAAATTTGAAAGGTTCATTTTTAGGGATAACTTTACTGCCATGTCAGCTTTTCCATTTCCACGGGTGCCGATATGATAATATTTTACAAGTGCACCCAAACTATAAACACATATATACTGATAGCTCAAAAAATATTGATAAAGTCGAATGTTCAGCCATTTTTTGACGAAATAATAAAAACAATCGCCTATCTGAGTAATCCTCTATGCTGAAGCTATAACCATTGACTTAGCTTTAGACATCATAACAGACAATGAGCCAGACAACTTCATAGTTTATCAGATTCACTATCCGTATTTACATCACGGAGAAACAAAAGCCCAAACTTTGTGTGTGTATGCATGTGCTTGAGTTTTACTCTTATGTAAATCACTCGCGTACATCATAGATATACACATAGGCACATGTAAAGGCACTCACAGAGAGTGTATGACGGACAGAGAATCAGTTCTTGTTTTTTTTTATAATAGAGATTAGAAAAAGAAAAAAAAGGAAAGAAAATGAATAAAGTGAGTCGAGAAATGGAGTTAAAAAATGTCGTTGAAGAGACAGAAGATAGTGAAAGAGGATAAAAAGAAGAAAGAAAAAATTGAAAAGGGGTTTTGATCAGAGGATGTTCTTAATAATGATGATGTGGTTGAACGATGACGATAATTCTCCTCATTCTTAAAAGAGTTCCAAAGTTCTATGTCACGACCCACTCCCAATCTACCAACTCTCTGTCAAGAACAAGATCTTTGAGGATAAGCAAGAAAAAAAGAAAAAAAAAGCGCACAATGACGATATGTCGTCATGAAGTCATATTCTTATTTTTTAGTCCCTTTTTGGAATGACTTTTAGAGAATTCAAAAAGAAAAGTTAAAAATGGACAAATCCATTGAAGGTTTTCCTAGTTTTGATCAACGAAAACAAAATCTTTCTTTTTTTTTCTTCATTTCTTTTTTCATGGAATTATTCTTTCACGCGAGAAATCCTTTTGGGTTGACGTTTGCTTGGGTGGAGTGAAATTGGCATATATCGGTTTGATGTTGCCGCCATCTTATAAATCTCAATTAGCTTCATTTAAAAGCGAGGAGAAAAAGTGAATGATCGGCTCTTTTGATGTTAGGTGAATGAATGAATGAATGAATGAATGAATGAAAGAAAGAAAAGAGAACCATTAAAAATGTAAAAAGTCTAAAAATCTAAAAGAAAGAATTGAAGAAGGGAATTACGTAAATAAAAAGGAATAAATGTATGAATAAAAAAAGAAGAAAGAAAAAAGAAAGAAGAGATAATTAATAAGAATTTAGAAATGTTGACGAGAAAAAATAAAAGACAGGGTTGAAGATGAAAGAAAATGGAACATGATAAAAAGATGAAGAAGATATGTTAGAAAGAAAGAAAGAAAGAAAGAAAGAAGGAAGGAAGGAAGGAAGGAAGGAAGGAAGGAAGGAAGGAATGAAAGAAAAAAGAAAGAAGGAGAGAAAAAGAAGGAGAAAAAAAAGAAAGATGAAAGGAAGGAACGAAAAGAGAAAGAAAGAAAGAAAAAGAAAGAAAGAAGAAAAGAAAGAAAAAATGAAGGAAAGAAGGAAAGAAAGAAAGAAAGAAAGAAGGAAAGAAAAATGAAGGAAAGAAAGAAGGAAGGAAGGAAAGAAAAAAGAAGAAAAGAATTAAAGAAAAAAGAAAGAAAGAATGAAGGAATGAAGGAAAGGAAGGAAGGAAAGAAAGAAGGAAAGAAAAAAGAAGGAAGAAAAGAAGGAAAGAAAAGAAGAAAAAGGAATGAAAGAAAAAGAAAGAAGGAATGAAGAAATGAAGAAAAGAAAGAAGAAAGAAAGAAAGAAAGAAAGAAAGAAAGAAAGAAAAGAAGGGAAGGAAGGAAGGAAGGAAGGAAGGAAGGAAAAAAGGAAAGAAAGGAAGAAAGAAAACGAAACAAAGAATGAAGAGAGGAATGAAAGAAAAAGAAATGTGTAAAGAAGTTGAATAGAAAAAAAATAACGAATGAATTTGAACGTTAAAGAAATGAATACATACAAAAAGAAGAAAAACAAGAAAGTAAATGTAACTAGAACTTTCAATAAACGAAAAAAAAAAAAAGAAAAATTCCAATGAAAAACGGAAAAGAAAATGAACATTATGAAATAAACATGGAACAAAGAAAGAAAGAATAAAAAATGGAAATTATGAAGTAAAAACAGAGGGAAATATGAAAGAAAGAAAGAATGAAAATTATGAATTAAAAATGAAATAAAACTGAAAGAAAGAAAAAGGGGGAAAAGAAAAGAAAGAAAAAAGAAAGAAAGAAATGTCTACTCGAAAGGAAGGAAAGAAGGAAGGAAAGAAGGAAGGAAAGAAGGAAGGAAGGAATATCTATCACGTAAATAAAAGACAGAGCACTGTAAACAAGGGCAACTAAAATAGAGAAAGACTCATCTTTGTCTTTCTTCCTACTTTTACAAACATTTCCGGTGTACAAACAATGCTACATTTTTAAGCGCTACCATTCGCTGCCGATGAAATTGACAAGATTAACGTCTCCCTTTTATGACGAATATATTGAATCAATATGTATACATTGTATTGTTTATAGTGTTGAATCAATTCCTTACCCACCGTGTGTGTATGTTCTATTTGAGCGTGTGTGTATCTGGGGCAGTATGCCATCACCCTACTCCTATCTTGTTCTATATTCCACCAACATACCTGAAGAATATAGTTATTATTCATGTATGCGTCTAAATAACAAATGGAATACAAAAAAGTGGGTTAAAACAAAAATAAAATTAAAAAAGGAAAAACGTGTAGAATGTTTAGCGGTTGATTCTTGATTTCATGTTTTCAATTCCTTTCCATTCATTCTTCTCTTTGCCATTGATCTAGACGTCTTTAATCTTTCTTTTCCGCATCTTTCGTTTTACTTCTTTACACCCCCTCTTCTGATCTTTTATTTCTCTTTTCTTATAACGACGACGATTCTCCTCCTCCTCCTTCTAATCTTCTTCTTCTTCGTCTTCTTCTTCTTCTTCTTCTTCTTCTTCTTCTTCTTCTTCTTCTTCTTCTTCTTCTCAAGTCCATCTTGTATTTTCTTCTATTCCACTTCCTACCATTTTGTTTTCCTCTTTTCTTCTTGATTTTTCTTATTACCTATTCTTTATTTTCTTCAAATGTTCTTCCTGTTTTTTTTCCTTTCCTCTCTTCTTTATTTTTTGTGTTTCCTTTCTTTTATCCTATTACTCTTCCTACCTTTTTTCCACTTTCCTTTCTTTTTCTTGATTCTTCTTGTTTTCCTTCCTCTCTTTTCTTCTATTCTTCTTTCTGTCTTTCTTCCTTTCTTGTCTTCTTACTGATTCTTCTTATTGTCTTCCCTTTCTTTTCCTCTATGAATCTTGTTCTTCTCTTATTTTCCATTCTTGCTTTCTTTTACTCTGTGAAGATTCGTCTTGACTCTTCTTTCTTTTCTTCTAATCTTATTCTTGCCCTTTTTATTTTCTCTCCCCTTTTTAATCTTAATGATTCTTATTATCTTTCCTTTCTTTTACTATATGATTGTTGTTGTTGTTCTTCTTCTGTTAAACTTACTGATCCATTTCCTTATAGTTTCTCTTTTGCTTTTCATTTTTTACTTCATCTCTTTCTTTTTCTAGTCATCTCTTTTCCTTCTACTTCGCTTTGTGATCCGTTTTCTCCATTTTCCCGTGTCTTCTTCCGCTTCTTATTTCGTATTCATGTTTTTCTCTTCTCATCATCTCTTTTTCTTGTATCTTTTTTTCAGTTGCTTCTTTCTCTGCAATTGTCGTCATTACTGTCTGCAAAACGATTTTCTACATCCCGTTTCTAGATTTTTTTTTTTTTTTTTTTTACTTCTGTCTTCTATTTTCTTGTTTCATTTCATTCAGTCTCTTCCTTTACAATATCCCACTTTTACGCTTTCATTTTTCGCTTCCGTTTTTTTTTTTTAATTTTTTTTCAATCGACTACTTCGATTTCTCCAAAATACATAATCTTTTTCTGTGTACAAACTATGGTTTTGTACAACATACAACCTACGAAAGCTTCTGTCGTTTTTTATTTCATCTATTGTCATACAGCATCAAAGTTTCGCGATTTCTTTGAGAGGCCCTCTAGATTATTTTCGCATGATCTCGTTTTTCTCTCTCTCTCTCTCTCTCTCTCTCTCTCTGCCTTTTTGCACTTGTTTATTTGTATTGTTCGTTTTTAAGTACAACGACCCCCCACATTCCATCGTTTGGCGATTTGACGTTCGCGTCTTCAGACTAAACCCGCCTCCTCTGCCGCTCCACTCCCGACAATCACCGCTTATGACATTGTTTCCTTCAAACCAATAAAAGCATTATAACTTCTTAATCAAAGAAATGCGTACTTGCGTGTTTAAGCGAGTGGGCGCTCGTGCATGCACATATCAGGGCCTCTTGTTTAGTTTATTCAATGGAGGAGATCCTTCAATAAAGGCATTAGCCATTCAGCGCACATGTCTGTTTGTTTGGTGGTCTTCACACAACGTGGGGGGTTCGTGGCTTTTAAACGGCTATTTTGTGAGAGTTTAATAAATTTATCGACATAACTTTCATTCGACCTTTCATTTAACAAACTGTAAATCAAAGTGTACTGTTTTTATTTTTTTTGTTTTTTTCAGAACACATCAGAACTAATTTATTATGGGGCAATAAGGGATTAAATTCGAATCCTTCTTCTATAACACTAGCTTACTCTCACGATATGGCAATTAATTGCTAATTCTGAATAGCACGACACCACACTATAGGGCAATGACTAGAAAGGGAGCCATACAGACTATTGTAGCGAGTGCCTTCCTTACTGAACACCCTATAATTATGGTCTTGTGCCAGACATACCTCAGCTAAGTAAATATTAAATGAAAAACCTGCTCTACATGGCTGAAATAGTTACTTATTTCCTTCTGGTATCGGAGATCACTGTTCGATCCTAGGTATACACCAAGATTCCGGATGCTGATTTTCAAGGCAAACTATCTGTCTATACGTTTTGTATCTTCTTACTCTACAACTAGCCTATTTGATATTTGTGTAATGTAAGGGAAATGTATGATAAAGTGTAACAAGTTTGTGGGTTTAATAACAAAAGTGATAAAAACAAATTAAATGAAAATGGCTAGACTATATATACAAAACTAGCAGTAGAGCCCGGCGTTGCCCGGGGATGTAACAGTAAGTGATAGATCAAGTATCGACCATCATAAAGACTGAAAAATAAAATTGACAAAGATTATTGTTTAAGGTTGACGGACACGCATGTCTTAATTAGTTTTTGTTTTTTTTTTTTTTGGGGGGGGGTTACGAATTGGTCAAACCCAAACTCAAACAAAAACATTGTTTTCAATCGTTATGAGTCTATCGATTTTATTATAAACAATTGTCTTGTAAATGGAATTTTTAAAGCATTCTGAATGTAAAAATAAAGAAAAAAGTGTGCAAGACAATAAGAAACAAAAAGTGAAGTTTTGTTGAAATCGGTTGAAAAATGTAGGAAATCCGATCCCATATATAAACGAACACACACACACACACACACACACACACACACACACACAACCTGGGTTTTATAATAAGTATAACTCGATATGAGTTGTCTCCCTTTCATTCTGGCGGCAGTGATACCTCTTAATCGTGTGTTTAAATTGATTTCGTGCAAAAACAATTGTATTTTTCCAATTTTTGTCGCTGTCAGAAACACCGCAAGGTAATTTTACGTAGTCCTGTGAAGTTTTGTTGAAATCGGTTGAAAAATGTACGAAATCCAATCCAATATATAAACGTACACACACACACACACACACACACACACACACACAATCTGCGTTTTATAATAAGTAAGATATATATTTTAAAAAAACATATACAAAACGTATTTAAAAATAGTAATTTAAATTTTAAAATTTCAGCGTCTCCTCTATTTCGTGTGTATGGGTGATGGTCGCATCAAAGTAAACATCGCTTAATTCCGATGGAGCCTGTAGCCTGGAGCCCTAAAACACGAAATTCTTCACACGAAATATATATATATATTTGAACTTGAGCACCCACCTCCCCGGGCAGGAGAAACCGTCGTTAGATCTGACGTGTTTTAAAACTCTAGTCCACCAAGTGCATCGATGGTCAAGCAGGAAAAGAATTGCGTTTAAAGGCACTATCCAAATTTGCTTGATCATCGACGCTATATATATATGTATATATATATATATGTATATGTGTGTGTGTGTGTGTGTGTGTGTGTGTGTGTGTGTGTGTGTGTGTGTGTGTGTGTGTGTGTGTGTGTTCTAACTTGTGCACCCACCTCCCTGGGCATGGCTTTGTATGCAACATTCAAACTGACAGGGAAATAAAAGCCAACAGACCTGAAATTATCATAGAGTACAAGAAATTCAGGAAGTGTATGCTTATTAACATATCAGTACCATCTGAGAGAAACACCTCTATGAAAATTATCGAGAAATTGTCCATATACAACGACCTAGAGATCGAGATTAACAGGATGTGGGGAATGTAGACTGAAACTCGTACTAATAGAAATCGGTGCTCTGGGCCTCGTGAGAAAAAAAATGAACAATTTTACTAACAATGTCCCAGGTAACATCAACATACAAGTTGGCCAGAAGATCGCTCTAGTAAGAACATCCTATATACTAAGAAAAGTGCTATCAATTAAATGACATTTCTCCTATTGAGCCTAAGGACCATAGTTAGGACCCGGTTCTATAGGATACTGTGTGAACATTTTTTATTATTATAAATAAAATAAAATAATAAAAATGATGAAAATTATACATAAAATAAAGTAAAATGTAAACCTCGTTTAAAATAAATTAAATAAATAAATAAAAATAAAAATAATAAAATTACTCCCAGCATGCAACATAGACAGTTCCTGCTGAAAATGCGGACATTCCGCCAAGAGATGTGAGATTCAATCTCTTAGCCCAAGAACTGTCGGGATGAGAACACATGTGTAAATTCCCTCCGTGATAGGACTTGTGATATTACGGAGTGACTTACTCCCTTTTATAACACGAACATTATCACAGTTGTAGCGTAAAACACACACCAATACACAAAAATATGTAAATAAAATTGTAGGAAATTGCCATACAATTTTCTATGTTCCATCTATAAAAGGCAGGATGTGTGTGTGTGTGTGTGTGTAACGAATGCACGGCCGCAATTTTCGACGGATTTGCACCAACATTTACATGCACATGCTCCAAGTTAGTGGAAAGACCAAGACCGACATTGCATTTCACAACTCCCATCGATAGTGGAAATAATCGATTTTTCATGCTTCTACGGCAGTTTTCATGTAGTTTGCAGCCATTTTGTACTGGCCAGAGTGAGAGCCTATAGCTGGCTGCCACTAATAGGCAGGAAGATTCTATTGGCCAGCGTGAGAGCCAACAGCTGATTGACACGAATGTTAACTAGCATGCTAGCATGCAAAAAAATCGATAGCTGCATTCGTCACAAGTGGGAAAAATTTAAATCTGCATGGTACTTTACTCCAATTGGCTCATTCGCTTGCTTAAACTCAACGTTGATTCTGATTCCGCAGAACTGGGTTGGGTGTGAAAAACTATTTGTTGTTAACATTCTTTTTTCATTCCGTTTTTCCAGTTACGAGTCCTTTTTTTAAAGCTGATCGTTTTGAGTTCATTTTGTTTAGTTCTTTTTTCGTAACAGATTTAATGTTTAGTATAAAGCTTAGAAAAAATTCGCAGTGTGAGATAGGCAAGAAGTAAGGCATGTAGCAACATCAGCACGGCAAAGGACTCTCCTTTAAAGGCAAGGAAGGGCAAAAATATTTTAAGTCAAATGATAGCGATTGCTGTATGAGTCGTACGATTTTTTAATCAAGCACGGGTAACGCCGGGCCATGCTGCTAGCCACATGATATGAGTGAATATACCTCCACAATACAAAGCAGGAAACGTAACATACACGAGTAATAATAATGACAAAAACAGCATATTGATAACATATTAATATATGTATACTGGATATGTACGGAGTCCCAACATCTATTAGTTCTTAATTTAAAAAAAAAAAAGAGTAAAAGACAGAACGTCTGGTTGTCAGCAAGTGAGAGAGCCTAAGCTGTGAGCAACGGATTGAACATGTCAGAATAAAGTAGGTACAAAAATGAACTATATGGGTAGTGTCGTAACAGACGACCGAAAATGTGACGCTGAGATCTTAAGAGCATTGAAATAGCGGAAGAAGATGTTTTACAAAAGCTAAACAAAGTATTAAGAAATAGGAAAATTTTGTTAGAAACAAAGGAAACAGTGATAAATTAGTATGAAATAGCTATCCTCCTGTATAGCAACATGTAATGCTGGACAATTTCTCCACAGATGAAAATGAGACTTGAAGCGACAGAATTGTTTCTGCAAAAGAATGCTAAAAATATCACACAGAGAACATGTCACCAATGAGGAAGTTTTAACGAAAATAGAAATCAAAACGGTATTTAAATTTGCAATCAGAAAGCGACAGTTAAAATGTCTGAGACTCAGGGTCGGTGTCAGGATCTCCCCATAAATCTATAATACACCCCTCCCTAATCTATGATAAGGGCCACCCACCCTACTACATCTCAATTTTCATAAGGTAGTATTAATATAAAATAGAAATTTTATTGTAATCTAATTATGTACAATAATGGATCATATGCAATATAGTTGAACAATTCAACTAGAAAAATTGAAAATAAATACAATGTATCTAACTTCAGATGAGGGACATATAACAGATAATTCCATCTTAAATAAATCAACACCTTTTGGCG